CACAGACACGCACAGACACGCACAGACACACACAGACACACATGCGTACATACAACGCATACGTACATGCATATATACATACACATATATATGTATACGTACATACACACGGTTACGCACAGACACACGTATCTGTTTCTGTCTTTCCCTCTCTCTCTCTCTCTCTCTCTCATCATTTCTCCTTCCCCTTATTTCATCATTAGTACTTTTAGCCTTTCATCAGCAAGCGCTGCCCGTTCATTTCTCTTTTCATTAATTTTAATACAATCGACGCCCCTCCATTCATTTTTCGGTTCCATCTTGCTAAAACCACAAATTTCTTCTTTTTTGTTTAATTTATTAAAATGAGTGATTGCGACAAATATGACGTGAATGTTACGGCATTCATATCGATAATACTTACCATTTTGTGATAGCTGTCCTTTAAATTGTACTCAGTTTATGGTAATTTTTATGAATATATTATCAAAATGATGAGAAATTTGATTAAGCATTGATTAAGTTTAGATCAATATCATATTAAAATTTTCTGCAGTCAATTTTTCGAATTCGCAGTTAAGCTTAATTTTTGAAATTTTGATCAGTGAGAATTGTAAAAATCAATTTAAACGTGTTTTTTTAATCACTATAAATATGTTCATGTCAATTCATCTTCATCTAAAGATTTGAAAAAAAAAAATGTTAATATGCAATTCTTCTTCTTCGTTGTGCAAATATATTCATTTTAAAATCTTTCCATTTATAAAATTTGTACGTAAAAAGCAAAGGTGATCTCATTGATGATATTTTCGAAAATGCAATCAAAAAATTTCGAGAAAAAGAAGATAAGAGGATTAAAATTAAAATTTCTACGGGAAATTTGATTAATCTAAAGATTAATTGATTATTTTTAAGATTTCTACCAGTTCAAATTAATCATGTCTCCACAAATACAATATTTTAAATGAAAATTAATTGCAAAGTTTTTGGTTTCTCTGAATTTCGCAGTTAACATTCATCTCTTCTTCACATTTTTTCTAGTTTGTAAGTCAAAAAAAAGGAAAATAGAATTTAAAAAATGTTACTTCAGTTTGAAAAATGAACTTTCAAATTTCATCATTTCTGTTTATGACAACTGTAATTATCAGGCATGAATTTTATCGAACTGAAATAATCGTATTTTCAGCCGTGAATGATACGAATTATTCTTCTTCATTAACATTAATTAAATTTCACCACTTCCAGAATTCACAGTTATTGAAATTAATTAAATCGACATTTCCTACTGTGTAATATTGTTTATAATAAAGACTTAATCGTACTCCAATAAATGGTTTAAATATGATGTTGATGAAATGATTATAATTATGATTACAGTGACAAGCAGTTCTATTGTTATCGGTAACAATAATGATAAGTGATTCATATAGCAAGAGCGACATCATTAAATATTCAAAACAAGCTATCAGAAATGTTTGGCATTTACTAATAATATGCAAGTCGGATTATATAGTTAAATAATATAGAAGAAATAAGTGAACTGTTAGTGATAGTGATAATAATGGTAATAATCATGATGTAATTAGTGTATGACAATGATAATGATGATAATAATCGTGGTAACTTAATAATAATAGTAGGTATTAATAATAATAATTAATAACAATAAAATGATAATGATAATGGTAATGAAAAATAATGGTAAGTAGTAAATAATAATAGATATTAGAAACGAAAATTGCATAGTGCCAGAAAACAGCTTCAATTTTAAAACTGGTTATTTTAAAGTACTGTCTAAAAGCATTTTCGAATTCCTTCGGGAATTAGTTTCATCCATCTGATTAACTGACTCATTCTATTCTCATCCCTACCACGAAAATGTTTGTTATACAGAAACGGCATTTATCATTTCAGTCCTTTTTTTCAGTAACAATTTCATGAAAGTATTATAAGAAATATTGACATTGAATTCAGAAAATAACTTCAGAATCAGTTTTTATTGCTTTTTTATTTTATATTTTATGGAATTTCCGCTT